CACAGGGGCATGTCCCAGCATCTCCTTTATTAAAATAATTCTATTTTATTTCCTGGATCTGTGCGGCCTAAGCAAGCATTCTAAATATTTAAGACCCTGGGGGAGAAAACGCTAGTGAAGGTGTGACTAGCAACCTGCTGCTGCCCACATCTACTTACAGTGAGGACCGGCTTCAGAGTCATCTTGCCTTGGGGACTGAGAAGACGGCTCAGCAGTTAAGGGGACTTGCTGCTCTTGCAGACGACATGGGTTCAGTTCTCAGCATCCACATAGTAGCTCACGACCATTATTACTTCAATTCCATGAGATCCAAAGTCCTTTTCTGACCTTGAGGGGCACCAGGCACCCACATGCTATACATACTTACATGCAGGCAAAACACTGATCCACATAAAATGGGTCAATAAGTGCAAAAAAAAAAAAAAAAAAAAAAAGCTTAAAGAGTCATCTTGTATTTAGCCTGCACACTGAATATCTTGAATACACTGTGTGTGTGTGTGTGTGTGCTTCTATGTGTGGCGTGAGGTATGTGTATGCAAGTGGGTGCCTGTGTGTAGAGACCAAAGGTCAGAGGTCAGCACTTCAGGCATCATTCCTCAGGTGCCATCCATCTTGAATTTTGAGACAAGGTCTCTCACTGGGTTTTGGGGCTTGCCCATTAGGCTAGGTTGGCTGACAAATCCCTAGGAATTCTCCTGTCTCCACCTCTCCCACTGAAGGGTTACAAAGACACATTACCATGCCCAGCTTTTTACATGGATTTGGGAGCTCAAGCTCAGGTTTGCACAGCTAGTTCTTTACCAACTGAGCATCTCACCAGCCCAGATGTCCTCTTTGATTTGCATTTTCCATTTTATCTGCAAATGAAAAGGGGTAAGTGACTGGTGCACTGTGGTGGTTTGAATAGGAATGGCCCCCTTAGTGTCATGTGTTGGAGTGACTGGTCAACAGGAGGTGACACTATTGGAAGGTGTGGCCTTGCTGGAGTAAGTGTGGCTTTGTTGGAGGGGTGGTCTTTGAAGTACAAATGCTCAAGCCTGAACAGTGTGTCACAATCTATTACTGCTGCCCAGGATCCAGATGTAGAACTCTCAGCCACCTCTCCAGAACTATGTCCACCTGTGTGCTGCCATGCTTCCCGCCATGACAATAATGGACTAAACCTCTGAACTTTAAGCCAGATCCAATTAAATGTTTTCCTTGATAAGAGCTGCCATAATCATGGTATCTCTTCACAGCAACAGAAACCCTGACTAAGATAGACACACTCATTATGTTCCCTCTGAGTTGAATCTTTATGGTCAATAGCTACATTTAGGGAAATTATTGAGAACTTGATTCTTAATAGAGTCTGCCTGAACGACTACTCATCTGCAGAAACCTATCTCATCCTTCAGTTTGGTCTCCAAAGAAATCAAAGCATGCATGAAGACTGTTCTAGGTTCAAGTGTTTGGCTTAAAATTATAGGTTTCCATCCAACATTGAGGGAAATCAGGACAAGAATTTAAGGCAGAACTTGAAGCAGAAACTGTGGAGGAACACTCCTGACTGATATACAAGCAGGTTCAGGCTTAGCTAGCTTTATTATACAGCTTAGGACCACTGACCTAAGAAATGGTGGCACCCACAGTAGGGTGGGATCTCCTACATCAATTAACAGACAAAGCAACCCTACACAGACATGCTTTCAAGCCAATATGATCTAGATAGTTCCTACATTGAGACTCCCTTCTTAGGTGACTCTAGGCTGTGTTACTTTGACAGTTAAAACTAACTTGGACAAAGACCTTGTTCTTAGAAGCATCTAAAACATTGGTTAGCTGTGCATATACAGCAACTCACCTGATGCATTAAAATCATGTGTACCTTTAGGAAAATAACACTGAGGTCTTGGTCACTTGGGGCTCAGCTTCTGGAGAAGTGTCTTCACTGGGTCAGGTCTTACTTCCCACTCTTTGTATCACTACCTCAATGTCATTAAAGGGAGCTTTGAAAAACATCTTCCAGGTAAATCAGCTAGCAAGATGTCAAGAAACAAAGATTCTAGATAAGTACTCTAGAACCCATCCCTGGGGGATCCTAGACAAACATCCTACCACCAAGCCATAACCCCAACCTCTTACAGTAGGCTTACAAAGCTCTTCCTGTGAACATTTACTGAATTCCAGGATGTATTCATCACAGCAGTTTTTATATTCCTAGTGTAGTTAGACATCTTCTTGGGGGTGGGGAGCACTTCCTGTAATATCCTCCCTGGTGGAATGCTGCTAGCTGGCAACACAAGCATGCTCAGGCTTAGATAGCTTTCTTATACAGCCCAGAACCTAACTATTGACAAATTGCCTAGACAATCTGTCCTGAGCATTTATCCCCTGAAAGTATCATTCTTGACTGGATCATTTAATTCTCAAGCTGCCTTCGACGGATGGGAAAGCCATTTGACTTGCAAAGCTGATTACAAATTATTTTCTGATTACAGATTTATTTTGTTTGTGACAAAATGCTTCCCGCTAATTGCTAAAATAATCTTGGAGGCACTTGCCTCCGAACACCTCATTTATTAACCCGCTGTAGTTTCTCCCTCACCCATGTTTTCATCTTTTTTTATTTATTTTAAACACCTATTTACAGGATCATTAATCTTAATCAATATCTCTAGGGCCCTTGAGAAACAACTGGTCTGGGCTATAAGAAAATCAGGAAACTAGCAAAGGGCCTGGAATGGAGAGATGGAGGCTTTCAACATAAAGAAGGTGGAATCCACAGTGATATAGAGGTAAAAGGGACTCTTGGAACGGGATAGTTTAAATGAGGTAGAGGAAGGAAGGAAAGACTAGAGGAAGGAATACATGGAACAGAACATCTAGCACTAAAGAAAGACCTTTTGAAAAACTCATATGGGGACTACTACTATACAAGTTTCTTAAATTATATACATACATGTATAAAAAGAGTATAAACTGATTTACCTTAGAATAGAGTAACAATGCCTGTACTAGACATCACATGTAAACAAATAAAAATCCCGGGACTGTGAATGAGTTACCTCTATTAGGCTTATTGGCCATAGGGTCCCGTAGATTTCCAAATAGGCTATTGTTGATGATATTGGCTACCCTCCAGAACATTACAGTATGATCCTGTTGCTAAAGATGCCACATTCTTGAATCATAAAACATGGAGTCCTAAAGCTAGTACTGTCTTAGAAGCTTGATCCATACCATCTAGCCTTCATAGCGCTGGAAGATGCTGTGTACCCTATTAGAGGAGTAAAGTAATCATCAATCTTACTCAATGTGAATCCTATGACTACAGTAATAACTAGCCTGGTAAGCTAGGGCCACTTGTACAATAGTGGCACAAATGTTATGGGAGTAACTACACACTTTCTAATTGGATTTAAAGACGCTCCAAAACATGGAACCCATACTTGGCATCATTAATGGGGCCAAAAATCATTAATGGACCCAAATATGTTATATACCCTAGGGAAGAACCTACCACAGATTGATTCTACTAAATGATTATAGTATTAAGCCAACTCCTAATGACTTACTAGTACAGTCATGTATTAGTGCTTCTCCCAGCCCTCATCAAAGAAGCTTATTCTTAGAGTAAACAGCAACTAATATGGCGACCCACAACGAGTCAACCTGCAAAGAACAAGAGGCTCTGAATACTCAGCCTTAACGGGACATCTTTTTCTCAGCAAAGAAAATACTTTGTAAACAGGCAAAAGTGATGAGATGACACTGAATATGATATCATTGGAAAAATATATGGTTGGAAAAATTAGAATCAGCATAAACTAAAACCTATAACTAAAAAACACCAAAATTTCAGTTATATTTTAATACAATGGAATTACTCCATGATCTTTGTCCTGAAAGAGTGAATCATATTTAAAATGTTGCTAAGAATAGATTTCTTTTTTAATTGAAATGGGTTTTTATACAACATATTCTGATTAGTTTCTTCTCCCCCTAGTCCTTCCAGTTCCCTGCCTATCCATCTCCCCTCCTATCCACATCCACACCCTTCCTGCCTCTCCTTAGAAAACAAACAGGCATCTGAGGAATAATAATAGAATTTTAAAAGGCAAAACAAAAATGAACAAACAAATCAGAATATGACAAAACAAAAAGAAGAAAACGAGCCCAAGAAGAAGCACAAGAAACACACATAGACACAGAGACACATACATTCATTCGCAAAGGAATCCCGTATAAACACAAAAATAGAAGCCATAATATACACTCAACGGACGTGCAAGGTGAAGTAAAGCAGAAATAAGATGCCATGACACAACATTATGAGACAAAGAACCTCCAAAGATGCCATTGTATTTGTTTTGTGTTAGCCATCTACTGCTGGATGTTAGGCCTACCTTTAAGAGTTGTTTATTTCCTGTGGGCTGGAGAAATGGTTCAGAGGTTAAGAACAATGGCTGCTCTTCCAGAGAACCTGGGTTCAATTCCCAGCACCCACATGGCAGCTAGCAACTGTCTGTAATTCTAAGATCTGACACCCTCACACAGAAAAACATGCAGGCAAAACACCAATGTACATAAAATTTTTAAAAATAAATTGTTAATTGTGTAACTGGATCTATCTAAGGGGCACCTGACCTCAGGACTAGTATCTATCCCTGGAGGATGAGCTAGTTTGTTGAAGCCCATTCCCTATGGTGGGATGCCATCCATGTTCAGCTTTAACACAGTGCCTCAACTTAATTAGTCAGGCTTTGTCAACCCCCACCTCCATAGGAGCCCTTACCCTGTGGAAGAAGGGTATGGGAGTGGGCTGGGAGAGGTAAAGGGGAGCAGGAGGAGGGAGAACTGTGATCGGAAAGCAAAATGAAATTTTAAAAAATAAACTTAAAAGCTAAAAAAAGAAAAGAAAAGAAAAGTTGTTTGTTTCCCTAGTGAGACTCCCTTGAAGAAAACTAAGTTTTGATCTGCAAGTGACTATCAATCAAAGGTAACTTCTGGGTTAGGGA